TAGGAAAAAATGACCCCTTATGAATTTTGACCTTTTTCTACTGATCTTGGAAGTCTCCACTATACATCTGGGGGCTGAGTCCATGGCTGCCCCATGGCTCCTCTGTGATTCAGATATGGATTCACCAAGGCCAGCACAAAGGGGCCGCTGGACAAGAATAACCCTCAGCCTCCAGGGATTTCCCCAGCACCACCTCCATTGGAGCCCTGGCAAAGGGGGCCTATCCAGATGCTAGGGTGGCCAGATGTCTGGTTTTTGACCAGACAGTCCGGTCAAAAAGGGGACCTGATGGTGCCCGGTCAGATCTACTGACCGGACACCCAAAGTCCAGTTATTGCGGGCGAGGGAGGTGGGGAGGAGCAGAGTCATCATCTACGCCAGCTCTTATTCAGCCAGGGCTGCCACCTACCTGCATAGGGCGGATGCAGCTCCCAACCCCGGCTCTGCAGGCGAGTCCCACCCGACCCACACAGGGAGAGGGGAGAGGGCAAAAGCAATGAGCAATGGAGGGAGGGGGAAAGAGGAATGAACAGGGAGTGGGGACCTCAGGGGGAAGGGGTGGGGCAGGGGAGGTTCTGGAACTCTTGCTGGAGTGTCCGGCTTTTAAATATTACAAAATTGGCAAACCTCCCAGGTGGCCAATAGAGCAGGAACACAATTTAAGTCAGCACTGGGGGCCATATGAGCTCCTGAAGCCCCTGAATGAGGTGAGGCGCAAGCTGCCTCCCTTCAGTGTCTGTACTAGGGGATGAATTGGGCCCTTGATGTTTAGGAGGCTGAGAGGTGCTTATACTACTGTGTGAGCAGGCTCCTTTGGGGCACTTTTGTAGCCTTACTCTGATAAAAGCTTCACAAGAACATGGGGACACAAGTACCACACGCTGGCTTCTCACGAAATGCTCTTTACACATATAAACAGGGACCAGAGAGCTGATGCTTTTCAAAACCAGGCCTTTTCTTCTGGTCCCCATAAAGGATATGCTGTGTATGTAGCAGACTGGGAATGGAGCACTTGCTTCTGCAAACCACATTCGGGGGTAGGGGGGATGCTTGGATTCTCTGAAAAGCGAGCTTTTAATCTTTCTAAACAATTTGTGAGAGGAGACATCTGAGGTTTCTACCGTTACGGGGCTGAAGGTGAGATTTCAATCTCACTGGGGCTGGAGCAGAAAGCAGAGGGCTTTTTGTATGTGTTTCTAATGCCTTTTTACCCAGGAAATGTATTGCTTCCCAAAAGTGTGCAGCTCACTAATCACAGAGAAAGATGCACTATAAGGGGAATTTCTTTTAAAAGCAGAGGGCATCTACTGAGCTATTTATTATAGCACTTCCTTTCCCCCCTGCACGAGCTGCAGCATTCAAATGTTTCTTAGCATTATAAATCCTCCCTAAGGTTTGTTCTGCTAGCATGGAGCCACAAGTCTTTCCATCCAAAATATCTGTTTACAGGCTAATTTACTGAGATCAGAAACCAAACCACCCAACCTACACCCTGCATAGCCTAATTATAATGCAGCAATCTAACTCTGTCAACATCCTGCATGCTTTATAATAAAGTGCTGGCCAGTTAGACCAGTGGTCAGTAATCAAAGCTGACATGGGATGGGGGGGGGGAGGCAAGATGACTTAGGTGATTCCTGTTATGATCTCTCAAGCCAGTAGGCTGGGAACACTGTGAGGCAGCCCACGCAGCCTCTAGGGTGATGAAAGATTCCTTGCATTGTTCATAAGTGACTTCATTAGATAGATAAGAGTGGCATTGCTGAGGCACTAAAGGAAGCCCTGTAATGGGTCTTATGATTAAGACATGGTATTGAGACTCTAGATCTGGGTTCAAATACTGGCTGTGTCACAGGCTCCTGGTGTGACCCTCAGCAAATCATTTGTATGGCCAGATTTGCAAAGGAGGGCAAGACTTAGCAGCTCTCAGTGGGACCTGCTGGGTCATGATTGCTTTTGAAAATCTGGCCCTTAATCTCTTTCTCTCTAGTTCCCCCTTTGTCAAATGGGGATATACCGCCTTTCTCCCACCTTTTGTCTGTTGTAAGTTCTTTGGGACCAGGGGCGGCTCCAGGCACCAGCGCACCAAGCACGTGCCTGGGGCGGCAAGCCGCGGGGGGCGGCCTGCCGGTCGCCGTGAGGGCAGCAGTTCGGCGGAATGCCTGCGGGAGGTCCGCCAGTCCCGTGGCTTTGGTGGCAATTTGGTGGCAGCTAGCCGCGGGACCAGTGAACCTCCCGCAGGCATGCCGCCGAATCCGCATTACCAGCGGACTTCCCGCAGGCCGAAAGCCACCTGCCTGCCATTCTTGGGGCGGCAAAAAACATAGAGCCGCCCCTGTTTGGGACAGGGCCTGTTTCATGCTGTGTGTTGATGCACTGTCTAGTGCAATGGGGCTCTGACCATGAACGTGGCCTACAGGTACTCCATAGTATAAATAATTCCTGCTTGGTTGAAACTTCAGGGGCTCCAGGGTGAGACTAATATCTCTTTCCTGCTCAGTATGGTGGCCTCTACTTCCCAAAGACTCAGAAACACCAAGTGTAAATTAAAAACATTATTGAATCTGTTTCCGAGCATATTTGCAGCAGGTGTTTCAGTCTTCCCATGTGTGGTGTCAGAATAGAGCACAGAGCAACACATTTATCTCTGAATTATTTAACACCTGTAGTCTTCAGAGACCCCTACAGCAGCTTAGCCCTGGATCTGCCTTGAAAGAAAATATATCCTCTCATTTAAAAAATGTGAGCTGAGTCATTGGAATGAGCCAGGCCATGTGGAAAATGGGGTCCAGAAACAAAGGTCTTACTGTGTCTTAATCAAGATGCCTTGTACTTATGCCCTGGGTCCACATGGTGGTGGTGCCCCATACATGACTATTTGGGAACAGAGTCTGTATTGTAGCAGTGGGGAGAGGGTTTTATAATTTTTACTCTGAAGTCTAATTTCCTGGACTAAGCAGTGGAAGTCTCTTTGCCTCATCTGTACTGGATGAAAGAGTGTATGGATGATCAGCCTTCATTGTGAGTAGGACCGAAGCGGCACCAATGAGTTAGGAACCAGCAGGTCAGCAGAGTGGAGGGGTCATCAGAGGGAGGAAGTTTGTTTCATAAATGTGGGTGATGCATATACACTGTGATGATCTTCTGTTTAAAAAAAAATATGCGTGTACCCCTGAATGCCATGCCTCAGACTTCAAACCAGTTACTCTGAGCACACTAAGTTTATCTTGGCTTTTGAGACTGCTGGTTACAGCGATAATTCTCTACATGTAAAAATGGGAAAAACCGTTAGACCCAGTTATAGCTCTGTCTAGAATCAGGATGAACTTAAGTGCACTCACTGTAACTCTTGTTGCCAAAGCAGTGGCATCGTGTCTGGCTTTTTTTCATCCAACTCTCATGACCTCAAGGAGTCTTAGGGATAGCTAAAGTCCTGCATTTTCCTTTTTTTGGATTTGTAAGAGCCTGTTGGAGTAGTCACACCTGGCTAATGTACTGTCCCTACCTAACTTCCGTTCATAGTTAGGGTAAACTTTGTGCTGATGAATAGGCTTTTTGACAGAAGGACCTTTTGATGGGAATTTTTTAAACAAAATGAAAACTTTCATTTTGTTTAAAATCACGTTTCAAAACAAACTTTTGTTTAGACTTAAAATGTCAGTTTTGTTCTTTAAATCTGGACAACTTTGTGGGTTGTTTTTAAACTTTTTTCCCACAGCCCCCATTTCCTCCCCCATCCCACTCCAACAACACGAGAGGGAATGAAATAAAATGTGTGGGAAATTTTTTTTTTAAACATTAAAAAGGTATAGGGAAAAACCTGCTCTTCCCTTCCCCTAACTTTCCTTCATTATCTTTTTCTGTTCAAACTTTTGTCACTTGGATAACAAAGTGTTGAAAGTGTTACTTTTTCTCACAAAGAAACAAACACTTCTAATATTTAACTATTTCCTACACTTTGTTGGTGTTTTCCAACCAGCAAAAATTGGGAAATGGTAATACAGTGGCAGGGGGAGCCCCCCCACTATTTTGAAATGAAAACAAATAAATATGTTGTGGTGGTGGGCGTCCTGAAATTTTCTATGTAGGAAATTTTGAAAAAACTAAGAAGTGGTCATCTAAGTCAACAGTTTGAGAAAAAATGTTGATTTTGCTGAAACCCTGTTTTCTGATTGGAAAATAACTTTTGTTAGAAATTTCCTGATCAGAAGAAAAAAGCATATACTTGTCCTATAGCTGGTTCTCTGCACTATCAGTCCCTCTGTTTGAGCGGTAACATCCGTCTGTTTTCCCCTGTTATATATTCAATGGCTGTGGCTTTTAGCAGAGATGAGAGGAAGTATATGAGAGAGACTTTTTTTTTTCAGTGACTCTGATGCAAATCTGGTTTCACAATTTTGAAGAAATCTATCCTTATTTATATTTTGAGGATATATATACTGTTTCTTTAAATCAGTCGCATGAAGCCAGGCAAGATAGGGCTGGGAAATTGTCTAAGACAAGCTCTACAGTGAAGCAGAGAGAGAGAGAAAGAGAGGCTTAATATGGTTTTCATTATGCTGATAAAGTTCCTTGTTCAGTGTTGGAAGAAAATTGACTAATTCTTTGTCACATGATAGATTTAGCCTCCCTCTCTCATAGCCTCTGTCCCCAGGATAGAGAATACATACAAACTGGTCTTGTCATTCATTATTACTGTTGCTCCGTAAGGTGCAGGGAGATAATTATTTTCTCAGTACTAAAAAAAAAAAAAAAAAACCCTCCCAACGCCTTCAAGGAAATTTCCAGTGTGATTTTTCATCTGGTTTGGCAGATTCCTCTTGGAGAACAGAAAGTCAAGGGAAAATGGGAATTAGTAAAACATGTTGTGAACCATCTGGAAATCCTTTAACAAAAAAGGAAAACTGCAGCAAAACAGTAGCTGACAAATAAATAAATAATCGTGAACTGCAGCCTTTTTAACCATGTACCCCTCTCTCTCTCCCTCCCTCCCTCCTCAGGGTCAAGTATTTCCAGGGGAAGAAGGTGAATGGAGAATTTGAGATCCGAGTGGAACAGGTCAGTGATCATTGAAATCCTCCATAGCAAGGGTTCAGGTAGGTGATTGAAACCCCACCTGCAGGTGTCTGTGGGCATCAGCCAGGAGCAGAAGGGTGCTAATGAGGAATGTTAAGGCTTGTCTGTTTCACAGAATTAGAGAAGCCAGAGATGAAAATAACCTTTTGTGCCATCCAGTCCTGCCTTTTCAGGATTGTTCCCTATTGTACCTTTTCTAGTGCTGCTTTGAGTGTCCCTATGGATATGTCTACACTGCAATTAAACCCCACAACTGGCCCATGCCAGCTAACTTAGGCTCATGGGACTCAGACAAAGGGGCTGTTTACTTGCAGTGTAGACATTCAGGCTTGGGCAGCAGCCCAAGCCAGGGCCGGCTCTAGGTTTTTTGCTGCCCCAAGCAAAAAATTTTTTGGCTGCCCCCCACCCCAGCCCTGGGCTCGCGCCCCCTCCCCCCAACTGCACCCTCCTGCCGCCCCAGCGCTGGGTCACTGGTAACTCGCTCCCAGGGCGA